GGCTGACAAATGTGTGAAAGGTGAGTGAGGCTAACATTGTACCATTAAGTATATGGCTGCCTGAACTGATCGATCGGCCGGCTCAGTTATGTATTTGCATACCGGACATTAAGCCCGGCAAATTACCAGCCTCGTGTGCTGGCAATTTGCGATCGTGTCGGTAATTGGCGAGTAGCTGGGACAAAAAGCTCAAACCGAAACTGAAAACTGGGGCGGAGGCTGCAATGGGGATCGGGATGGAGATGGGAATGGGGATCGAGATGGAGATCGGAGCTTTCCCTTCACGTGGCGGTCATAAAAACTTATTGACAGGCCAGGGACAATTACCAAATTGTAAACGCTGAGCAGGCCCTTGAGCGAGCACGCTGGAGAACCAGAAATCCAGTCAACAAGGTGCACCGGGATCTCATTAAACCGCACTTAACGAGCCTCGATTTATGGGCGACAAAGTGGAGCCTCGATAAAAGGGCGGCCAGCGAGGCGAAAACTGGGCTAATGAAAGCGTTAATGTAACGTGGCCAGCTCCAAAATGGATCCTCTTACCAACCATAATGATGATGCCGATGATGCGGCCATGGATCTCCTTGCCTTCAGTCCCTACTCCTCGTATTTGTTTTGAGTCACTTGGCCAAATGCCAGGCATTATTCATAGGTTTGTTTGTCCCTCAGTAAAGGAGAATTTTAAAGAAGACAAGAACACGGCAAAAAAAGGTATCTTGATTATATTTTTAGTTAAAATCTAAGATTTCAGGTTGCAGGTTATATAAGATACTTTATCTTTAGAGCTCTTCAAATTCAAAAATAAGAGTAACCAAACTAGTCAGAAAATATTTGGCAACATTTATCTTCTATCTTTAAGCTTATTTTATCCGTGTATCTGTGTATCCGCCTCCGTGTGCCACGTAAGTCAACCTGGAGCTAAGCCAAGATTTCCGCTCGTTGCGTGGCCAGGAATTTGAATTTGAACGCCAGACATTTGGGCGTTGCACGGTTGTAAATTCATTTGTTAAACGATGCGCTCATAAAATTTGCGCCCTTTTTTTAACGGCCCTAAGAGAAGAGCTCGTCGGCGGACTGAGGGCCGAAAACTTGGCTGGAGGAGAACTTGGCAACAGCGAGAGGTCCGGGCCAACAGGACAAAAGGAGGCGTGGCCGGCCGACTTCCACATCTCTGGCCGGAATGGCAGCAGTGCCATTCTGGCTCTAAGCCCCCGTTTTCTCGTCTCCCTGGAGCTAAATAAAAAGTTCAACAGCAGCGCGATTTATTTGCCCGTCTTCTGCGCAGACACGGCGCCAGCTGAGCAGAATTTTTGTTGCGGTTTTCCTTTTTTTTTTTTTGGCCGGACAGGAGGGTTTAAGCCCGGCTAAAATTCTACTGTAATTATATGTCTCACCGTACGCACACACACGGGGCAGTGCGAGAAGAAATTTCAGCTAATTTGCCATTTAAATATACAAAAAGGGAACCTCGACGATCAGTCGCCCAGCTGCCTCTTAGAGCGTGTTAATTCGACATGTTTTCCGCCAGGGGACCAGGGACATCGGCTCCATTTAGGGCCGAGTATTTGCACTGCCTCGCGAAATTCATGTGGATTTCATGGAATAAAAACGCGCGTAAAAAACGTCAAATTGCAACACCTCGAGGGCACACACAGAGCGGCCAGATACAGATGCAGGGCTCCAGATACGGATACAGGCACTCAACCAGACCAACCAGTAAAAGAAACAGAACTCAGAGCGAAGAACCCCAAGCTCGAGCAAGTCCATAAGTCAGTGGGCTCCCCTCCTTTGGGCCCTCGCAATAATTGCGTATCTGGCAGATGCAATTTATCCGTGAATTTGTTTTTAATTTTCAACACATTCGCTAATTTGATTTTTAACTTCGTTCCGAGCACTGCCTCGGTCTCAATCACAGACAGCCCCGGCCAAATTGCTGCACCTAATCGTGAGTGTGCGGATGGCCTGGCCAGCGGGTTCAGGGATGAGGGATTGGGGATGAGGGATGAGGGCCCCTGGATGGGACGGCTCCAACACCCGCTTTCATTTATAATTTTGTGCAACTCACTTTGGCCCAGAGCTCTGAACTAACTGAGTCCCAAGCTTCACAGCACTGCTAACAAATATTTGTTACTTAGAGATAATATATTCAGAGTGGATTCAGTAAAAAAGGATCTTGATTCAGTAATAAGGCTGAAATTCAGTATTATTAATACAACATAATTTAATAATTAAAGAACATTTCATTTGCACAGAAAATAAAGTTGGAAAACCTTTTTATTGTCATAAGCCTTCCATTTTTTATATAGGCTAGTACAATCCCATTTATTCAGAAGTACTTCCCATATGATAAAACATTTTTTTCAGTGCAAGTCTGTTCCCAAGTATGAAGTGTTTTTCATCCGCCTCTCCCTGGACTTTTTGTATCTTTTTTAGCTGCACGGGGCGCTGCTTGTTAGTCGCGTAATTTATGTTCCACCAGATACTCGTTGGCGTTGCCTGGACCAACCTCCACCCCCCTTCTCCTCCCCCTCCCCCTCCCCACCTGCCGAGGATCCTCCCCATTGGCTCCTTCCCATGGTGTCTCTGCTTATTTTCTTATCCGTTGTTATCCGCACTACGAGTTGTTTGCGCAGGCGCAACCCAAGGGCCACAGGCAAAAAATGGAACGAAATAAAACTACAAATCGATTTTCAACGCAATGCGCTCTGCGTTCGATGGCCTTATCCTTCTTGGCTTCTTGGCTCCTTAGCTCCTTCACTCGAAATTCACGGTAAGCGTGAAGGGATTAGAGTCTATTAGTGGTTAAGGCCAAATTGTCCAATTGATTGGCTAACACATGGAAAGCAGACTCTTAATCAAGAGTTTTTAAATGAGTTAAAAGAAAAAGAGAAATAAGAAATACTAAAATATGATATAGTTTTTGATATTTAATATATGAGTGTTCGAATTAATTGAACAATCAACTATAAAGTGACTTCTGTGACGCTGAAATATGATAACAAATGGTTCGAATCATGGGATAATGGTGACCCCATTAAAATGCGCCCCCCTCCGGTGACCTCATCAAAATGCCAGTTCCCATTTACCCCACCACCACCACCACCACCATCTTACCCAGTTATTTCCAAATCGCCCTGGCCCGATTGCCAATGACTTGGCCCGGCTACCACTGCCAGCCACTATAATCCACACCTTGGCTTTATGGCCAATAATTTTGCAGGCAACAAGAACATGAACCGGAAACATAACAAATCATAAATTAAACCCTCGTTAAGCGAACTTATTGCCATTGCTGGCCGACGGAGAGGTCTCGCCCATGCGCCATAACTGGCCAACTGAGACCAACTGAGAGGGCCCCTTCAGTTGGCCAAGACCCCTCCTCGAATATCGGTCGAAAGGAGCACTGTTCTGTTCTTTTCCTCTCCGGTCCGGAGTAATTTGCTTCATCTTTATGCCTTTCAGTGCGTGGCTGTGAGTTTTATTTTATGTTACTACTTGTTTAAATTATATTGCGCTATTAAGCGAATTTAATGAAAACGCTGCAAGGCCTCAAAGTAAAAAAAAGGGAGGCAGTTATGGGGTTTTCCTTTTTTCTTTTTCCTTTTTTTTTTTGCTGGCCTCGTTAGGTGTAAAATAAGGCCCAGCAAATCGAACGTGTTGAGGCTGATAATGATGATGATGATAATGATGATGGGTCTGGAACTCATTCTGGGTAGGATTGCTGGGGAACTGGCATAACCCGACTTGGCCAATTGTTTCGGCCAGATCGAGCTGCAAAAACGCGATAAAGATAAAAATCCCGGGGACAATCAGTGGACATGCCGCACAAATTGCGCTTAATCCATTGGCATTTCATTATTAAGCAATTTCGCAGCAAACCGCACAAAAAACCGAAAATCCGCTCAACGCTCTCGGGGCAATTTAAATTTTTATGCAATTTGTACAAAAATGCTGTTATTCTTGCACAAAAGTAGCATAATTATTTCCGAGAAACGGTCGCAGGCCGAAAAGACAGTCGACCGAGGAATAAAAAAAAACCGCGAATGTCAACCAAAATCATTGCAGACGACACATTATCCTCACGGCAAAACGATGCTAATCCATCACGGACCCTCAAGCTCAAGCCTCGGGTTTTTGAGCCAGAGTTTGAGGTTGACTTACACAGAGAAAAATTGTAATGATCCCTGGGAGTAAATATAACTTAACAGTAAAAAATTAGAATATTTAATGGTTCATTTTATTAAGAAACTTCTTAGGCTTTGATATGGTTATTGTTTCTATATTACTCTTATTGTTTATGATTAGAGATATTTTTAGCTTCTTTTAAAAATGTTTTGAACCTACAAAATTTTCTTGGCTGGGAAATTAAGGATTATGTTTTAGAATCCCTTGATTTTCTTTCATTTTAAAGTTAATCGCTTTAACAGAATTTCCTGCTTATAAATAAATTTTATCTCAGTGCTTATCCAACAGACGAAATGTCACTTAAGCATGTGAGTGGCTGAGGAGCATCGGGATTCGCGGACGGATTCCTTTCGCTGGGCTAACCAAGTGCGATCGGCGATCAGCGATCGGTTATGAGATCAGAACAAAAGAGCTCGAAGCTCGCTGCAAACGAGGCCGGCAAACAAGCCGGCGAAACCCCAGAGCCAAATCACGACGCACAGTCTGGCAAGACGATTGTGGTCGATCGATCGGTGAATTATGCGCGACATCATTTTAAATCGTTGTAGCAACGTCAAAGCTAAACACCGATCAGGTCAGTCGAGCTCAGGAAGGCTAAGAAAAAAACAAAACGTAAGTCAGTCAGAATCGGAGGCAGACTGGGATCCCGATCCCGATCCCCATTCCGATCCAGATCCTCAAACAGATCCCTTGTCCATTGTCTTTGGGTAGCAGCCGCCCTAATTGATGCAGCACGGCCATAAATTTTGATCGGCCAACGATCCCCAACGATCCCTGCTCCCCTTTGCAGCTGCAGAGGATTGCAAAGATTGCCATGAATACATCAACGTGAGCTTTCCTTTATTTCGCTCAAATCCACGTCCCCTTTTGGCTCAAAATCTGATTCGGAGACTTCTGCGCATCCTTTAGAGTTCGATTCTGATACGGAATATTCTCGTTCAAATCTAGGAAATGAAAGGGAATATTCCACTTCGCGATGCTCCTCGGGATTGTAGTACATCCCAAGGACACCCTCCAAAAGCTCATATTTGGTCACCTCAACGGGGTCATCCACAAAAATGATGGTTTGCTTCACATAGGTGCGAGGTTTCTTCGGACTCGTAGAGAACAAACGCCTTAGTTCACACTTGGGTCGGCAGAAACCCACATCCGAGTAGAGAGCCAAAGCTCCTAGTGGACTGTCCTTCAAACCCCTCAACTTGAAGGGGATCCTGAAGTTCTCATCACTTATTTTGGCAGTGCAGAGATCGATGGTTTTGAGCAGAAATTTCTCGGTGATGAGCTCATCCCGGTTCACATAGTCCTCTATCAAACACACGGGTTCCTTTACCATATAACTTTTGCCGGGGTAATCTGTTTGTGAAAGGATATTCACTTCGATGCTTTCTCGAGGATGATCCGAAATTCCGCAGACAAAAAGCTGAGCCACATTGGGAATTATGTGACCGCCTTTTACAAGCCATTTGTCTCTGGCGAAGATTACTTCCTTGAAAAGAGACTCCACAAAAATAGAGTGACTATAAAAAAAATTATTTTTAATAAATAGTTCATAATTTAAATGACATATGCTTTTCATTAAACGACTAAAAACTTTAAATTACTTACCCTATCCACTCGGAAACAATAATATCGACCTTCTTCAGACCACAAGGCAAAATAATTTGCGCGATGTCCCCTTTAACGAACTCAAAAATGTCCTCCTTTTCGCTATTGGTAATAGCTTTTCTTACTATGTCAGCACTTTCCGTATTTCCCATAGCTATAACTTTTATTGCGCCCGCTTCAATACTCATCATACTAAGTAATCCACTGCGACAACCGATGTCCATGACTATCTGTTCTAAAATGTTTTAAAGAATTTGGATTTTAAGAAATGCTAGACTACTCTTACCTTGTCCTTAAAGAGCCTTTCATAACGCTTGAATATCCATTCGTATGCCCTGGATGATACGATATCATTCAGCATGCCATCTGCCATATCCTTTAGGATATTCTTGTCCAGATCCATTTAATCAGACACAAAAACATTAATTTTAAACGAACTGTCACACTTTGATTAACTTTGAATGATTACTACATATGTGGTTACAAATAAAGGTAACTTTTTGTTTCGACAATATACAGAGGTAATTGTCATATTTACATAATAATATTATCAATCAAAAAATCACTGTTAAATACCATTTATATCCAATTTAATTTAGTTTCTTAAATATTATCTTTATGAGCAGACAATTTCTCATTAGAACAGTTGGAGTTCCAAATCATACTGGTATCACATTACCCGCTCCAATCAGCCACCATAAATTCCAAACAGATTATCGGCCGGCATTTCTCACAGTTTCCCAAGGCGTTATCTCTTGGCGGGTGACAACAATTAGTTAGGAGGCAATTGTGGGATCGTACCTCCTTATCAGCGGGAGCAGGCCAGGATACTCTCGGCTTGAAAATCCGGCGACCGGGTTAAGCTGTCTAACGAGTCTCTAATTTATAGGTGACTTGGTGCGCAGTGTCCCGCTCCGCTGACAAATGCCGGCAATTTGATACCCAAAGAACATAGACAGGGGCCTCGCATCGGAATCGGAGTGGGTTGGGGTTTGTTTTTTTGAACGGGGATACAAATTGAAACGTTTGCCGGGCAGCCCACACTTGCCAGCGAGGATCGCCTTGGATCGCTTTGGATTCATCTGGGTGCTGTTTTTGTCTGGGACTTTGTTAATGCGCCCAGCGGGATGCTCACCTGATCTTCGGTAGAGGGATGAAGCGAACAAGTGTTGACCGAAAATCAAAGATCGCTGGCTCATTTGTGGCGCTTTTGTGAGCGCTAGATAACCAATATTTTATAATCATGTCCAATAATGGTGTGCATATTAATTTCATGGGCGCATAAAGCAACTTTATGGCCTTTTAAGAACTGCCATTAACAAAGACCCATCCGTGCACAAACACAAAACGAGCTGACAAGAGTTTTTTTGGGCAGGCAGCCTCTCGACCGAAAACCAAAAACCGAAGACCTCGAAACCGAGACAATGCAAATGGCTAACATAGTAAATAGAGTTATAAACGCATAAAAGGCGTTCATTGTAAGGCCCACGGCGTTGGCTTTCACAAATGTATACGACTTGCTGGCCATCAATTAATTAGAGGCGGAGAGGAGACACATTTTCACATTTTCCCCCCAAGCGATCGATTGATCGGGCAACCAACTAACCAACGAACCAACCAACCATTGGCATTGAAATTAATTTGTTAAGAAAGTCGTTAACATTTCGGCTGTCCACTTTCTAAGTCCCTCCGCCGGATTGATTGCCCACGAAAACCCTCGGGCACTTGGCGGCCCTCGATTAACGACCCATTTTATGACAGTTATCAATTCGGTTCATTTTATGATCCCTGACTTGATCGAGTCGTAATCCCGCTCATCCGAAGCTCTTGAAGCTCTCGACCCTGGTTCGATCGCCTCGGAAGCTGATGTTCAGGTCAAAGTGCATGCAGCGGTTGTTTAAAGTAGCTGGCTTCATGGCCAAAACACCTCGCACTCGATCGTTGGCCTTCACATAGAGTGGCTCATCCAGATACAGCAAAGTCTGCTCCCAGTGGGTCCATGGAGCCTTTGGCGAAGTGGACAGGATCACGCAGTCCTTTGATTCGCCAGCCGGAAAACCCACATCGAAGTACAGCACCAACATGTTGATGACTCCCGGTCGCTTTACAGTCAGCAGGAAGTTGGAGCGAAAGACCACTGGCTGATTCCTGGCAAAGTCCAGATGAGTGGAGTGTATGAAGCACTCGTCGGTCAGCAATTGCTGGATGGGCACAAAATCCACCAAAGGTTCCCGGGAAAACGATTGCCGAACACAACTGAAGTCGAAGCCATCGACATTTCGCCAGAAGTTCAGATTGGCCAGCCTGTGGGGATCCTGACCACCAATCACCCAGAGATTTGCCACGTTCGGAAGGATTAGACCACCGCGACGAAGCCATTTGTCGCGGGCAAAAATAACTGAATTTAGCATGGCTTCCATATAAAGAGCGTTGCTAGAAATATATTTAACACATTAAAGCTTATATAAGGTACAAATAAACTAATTACCTTACCCCATCCACTCGGAAACTATAATATCCACCTGGTGAATCTCATCTGGTAGCTCCACTTGCTCCACCAATCCCTTGACCACCTTCACCACATCTTCCATTTGATTATCCCTCACAATTTCCTTTGCCACATCCGCTATATCGGTGCACTCCACCGCAATAACTTTTTGGGCTCCTGCCTCGGCAGCAAATAGGGATAATATTCCTGTGCCACAACCCACATCAAGAACTATTTTATCCTGGAAAAGTTCGCGATTTTGTAGGATGGCATCGCGAAAGGTCTGGGTGCGAACTGAATCCCTTAGCATGGACATGTGGACTTCCAAACGGGAATAGCAGTGGAAGTAGTTACTATCCAAGCCTTCCAATGCCTCTTGATTTGCTGGAATTTTTTTATTCCAAGACATTTCTTAAGCTTACCAATTCCCAAGTACTCCAATTGAACCTTTAGAGAATAATGGCAGCTTACAAATTAAAAAGTGATCGAAAAAACTCGGGTATTGTGTGTACTTCTAACACTTAACAAAACTTTATATATTAACTACATGATATGGATCAATAAAAAGGCAATTAAACTCATTTTAAAGCTATAACTTAAAATATACACAGCGCAAAACAAGAGTTTAACATCGGAAATTCCGTGACAAAACAAATCTATAAAACTTGGAAATAACAGCCATAACTGCGAACAATACTACGTCATTCTATCGCCGTCATTAGCATCTGAATGGCCGAAACCAGATAAATCAAATTTTGCATTTAATAGACCCATTAAAATCGCCAAAAAATCGCCCCACTCAAAAGTCCGTGAAAGAAATGTGCCGCCAACACCTTAACACCAGGCCATAACTCGCTTAATCCGCCCAGCCCCGAAATTATTTTTATGGCCAAATTTAATGATTTCCCCCACCTTTATGGCCCCTCCATCGAGCACTTTCACTGTGAGCCCCAAGCCCAAAAAAACAAGGAGATTGTGCAACTTGTGGCCAACGGTAAAAACAAATTGTTAAATATAAAAACGGAAAAATGCCCGTCATAATTTTTGAAGTGTCATAAAAATATCCCCATAAGCAGACATAACTATTAAGTTGGCTCATTAATCAATTTAGTCACAGAGCAACAATAAAAAGGAGCACACAAACACTCGCGCACGAAACACGCGACATTCGAGTATAATAAACTATAATTTTTAATGTTGCTAAATTTTATGCTAATTTGCCATTCCTGGCGTTCCATAATTAGGCCCGCACCAACAGGCGGGGGGTCTTCGATCTCCGGATTGCCTTTGGGCCCGGCCAACAATAGCTGCCATTTGTTCGGACGGCTTTAAAAACCTATAAAACTTTTGGCACAAATCAATTAAAAAGCGACGTAAGTTTCCATTAGTGCGTCGGTTCGCTGTTCCCAATGAGAATGCCACCCACTGCGGCGATTAAAACGCGACGATGCTTTGCATATTGAATGCGATGATGTCTTCTGACATACTTGGAGCCCATTTGTCGCGTATTACCAAATGTTCGACATGGGCGAATTAGGCGAGGTGTGGGTGGCAGAGGGCCCACCTCAACTTTCGGGTTTCACCTGGTGACCCACAAGCCAAGGGCCATAAAAATCTGAAGTTGATGACTCTATTTTAATCGAAGTTTCCGTCAGGAAGAAATTAAAGTTCCATCCATACGAAGTTGTAATGCCACATACATAATACCACATTTTAAACCCTACTTCAACAGGAAAAGTTGTACCAATTGGGGTTTTTTTGACATAAAAACATTGAAAGCTATTAGAGGTATACCAATTTAAAATTGGACATCATTTAAAAAAGTTATGAGCTTCGAAATACAAGTTTTCAACCATCTGAATGTATGACAACATTTCCACGATACCACTATTGAATAGGATTTCAAAAAGATAAGTAATCGACTTCGAAGTACAGGTCTTCCTGCCTTTCTCCTATCTGACAGCATTTCAAATTGTAACCACAGTCAAGGACAATCAAGGGGTGGGAATGAATGACTTCAGAGGGTCGATTGTAATCAACCACTTCATCAAAAACAAATAATAACATGTGCTCACTGAATGCCCAAAAAGGGTCCTGAAACACATCCCAAAACAGGGGTTGATTGGCCTATCATAATCGTTTTAATAGAGAGTGAACACTAGTCAAACAAAAGACTTCGGTTTCAATGATGATATGCCCAAAAAAGAATGGATAGAGCCGAAATCTGGAACCCCTGTTTTGTGGCCCAGTGTAACTTTCATTTGATCAATCAGTCATCGATTAACCAACGAAACCAATCCCCATCCCATCCCAATTTAAGAATCCCATCGACTTTCGGGTGTTAACGATGAGGCAATTTGATTTGAACGGAGCTGCCAATATCAAATCCCCTCCCCTCTTCACACCCTTCCCTTCGATAAAGCGCTGCCGAAAAAAATTAATTGCCGGTTGTGCAAAAATTTGATTGATGCACTTGGTTTGGCCAAGGAATAAATAAAATTTCTGACACTTGGGAATTTTAATTAGAATGCCTTTGTTTCGGACCTCCAAACTGCCGACCAGGCCAGACTGGTTGGCTGATGAAGTCGTTTCGATAAAATGCAAAAATTTCGCACCACCCCGCGCCACTTCCTCCGGTTCGCCGCCATTACATTTCCCTTATGTGTTGGCTGCCTTTTGGCTTTGTTTTTGGTTAAAAGGGATAGTGATGCCGGTATTCTAAGGGTTCTTGAGAGAGTTTTTAAAAATTTAAGTAGTAATTATTTTTCAAATTTTAATAAAAGTCTAGGCCCACACAAAATTCAGGACAAATTTGAAAATAATATAAAAATGTTATATACGTACTTTAAACCAAGTACTTCAACCGGAAAATATTAAAACTCTTTTTAATTGAAATTCAACTGATTTCAATTTGTTATTAATATTTTTTTAATTTATTTATAATATAACCTGGATTATATAAATTTTTCATAATACAAAGAAACAAAGCAAGTTTTAAGCCGCAATAAAGGCTAAGTGGCCAACACCTATATGCGAATTGTTTGCCAATTAGCGCCCCCTGGCTGCCTGTGGACTCACGATTCCTGAGCCGCTGATAAATTAGCGAAATTTTAATTTGATTTCCTTTGCAAATTTCCGCCGAACTGGGCACGGACTGGGTGACTGTATGACTGGACGACTGGGTGTCGGAGTGTCTGGCCAAGTGGACACAGAAGCAGCAGCAGCAGCGGCAGCAGCAGCAGCAGCAAATAAACTAAGTGAATTTATGGCTTCGGGGCAGGAGCGAGCACACGTGTGCGACATGCCCACACATTGACACCTACCAATAAGCAACTAGCCACTATCAACTGCCGGCCATCCAATAACCGACTAAACCACACTCCAATAGGGCTGCAGGTCTCTTGGTCTCTCGGTCCCTTGGCGCGCTTTGGATCAGATCGACTCCTCGACTTCTCGGTTCGACTGGGTTTTTTGTTTATGCTGGGCAGGCACAAACAAGCTGACAATGCCCCATGTCATAGTGACCGTACGTGCGGCCAAACAAATTACAGGGAAATTGCGTCACCTGCAGGAATTTCCACTCAGCATTGTCAAATGCCATCAGAAATCGTTGGACATGTTGTAACATTAATTTGACATTTTACGGCCCAGAACAGGGATGAGGATGAGCTCGGCAATGAGATATGGGCGGGCCGAGGAGTAACCATCAATCCATCCATCCATCCATCCATATGCATATCGGATCAGAGGACTCCTTAACAATCTGGCCAAAACCGCAGAAGAACACAGGACAACGGTTGAGCCCCACGGCAGACAGCTGTCGAGCGGACCAAGGATGCTGGAGCCACCAAGGGATCTTGCAGGCAGCATCTACTAAAAACACTGGAAGAAATATTGGGTAACTACCTAAATAAATTATAAGAATAAGTACAAGTGAAGGAGGAAGTGTAAGAAGTACTGTGAAATAAGCCCATTTTCTTACTCTCACTACAAAGATATTATTTATTCTACAAAACTAATAAAATTTGCTAGTTAACATAAGTAGGTCATTCTTTTAAGAATACATAGCTCCCGTTTTCCTCAGTGCACCTCCAGCTTGGACTGCAGCTCCTGGCGTTTCGCTCTGGCAGCTGCTGCAATCTGTTGGAGCAGCGCAAAAGCATTTCTGGCATTAAAACAAATTGATGCGGTCGGGAAATCTCATTGCCGGCTTAGTGAATCTGATTTGCGGTCATTGGTCGTCCTCTCGTTAACCCAGATACGGATTCCCGGTACTCCGTTTTACAGATGCCAGGCTGCTGCGATTAATTTGCTGCGGTGGCGATAATTTGTTAATCGAAGCATCCTCATCGCAGCCTGTACTTCGGCCTGCCATATCTGGTACTTCCTCCTCCTTCCCGAGATTCGCCAGCATTGTCCAATTAAATCGGCCGAAAGTAGGGTGGGAATCATCTTTGTTGACTTTGCTTCCCAGCTTGTTGGTTTAACGGCCGGCGTTCTTTTACGACGGCATTTAGCTAAACTATCCAGCGAACGCCTCTGGGGAGGCTCATCTCATCCCGGGGGTGGCTGGGTTAATGGCCGGGCTCGCCATGCTGATGGTGCAGCATTTAATGCGGAAACGTGCCCCAAACTCGGGCTTCGATTAGCGACTAGCCTCGCTGATGTGTGGAGGTCAGCAGTGCAGGATCACGCAGTGGCCATTATGGACTGAGGCACGCCCGCGCCTCCTTAATGGTCCCCAATTTCCAAAATCAAGTCAAGTCATATCTTTGTGTCCTAAAAAACGCAGGGCTTTATCTCAGATAGCTTTATTGTCTGGCTGTTTTTCACACTTTGACCTTTAATAATAATCAACAACAATTTTTATTTATTCTGTATATTAGGTTCACCTAACAAGTTAATTTTTTTTTTTGTATTGATCTTTAATAAACCAATTTCCTTGAGTTGATATAAGCAACATGTAACAAAATTTCATTTAATAAGGCAGTTTGGTAGTTAATTGGATAAATCCTAAGCACTTTAGAAAAAAAAGTTATATAGCGAGCAAACATTACAATGCATTAACATTTGGGTTCAAAATTATTTCTAATATTTGTAATTGTTGAAATGTTTTTGGGGTTTTTTAAAAGGCGCGGCGACGGTTGGACAGATTAAGCGGCTGGTCCAACAAAAACTGCATGTCATAGTGTAGTTTATTTGAGTCCTGCGGCTCTTCTTTGTCCTCAATATCTTTTAGCATTTGCCTAAGCTCATCGACTCCTTTGTTAAGTTCCTTAAATTCCTCTGGAGCTAAGCCATCCAGTTGGAGCATCGAGTACGGTTTTTCTGCTTCCGGCTTTTTCAACTGATTCTCTTGGGTTTTTCTAACTGCCTGCTCCTTGACAAATTTCTCGAGCTCAAGAAAAGCTTGCTCCATTAACGGAGGGTCTTCCACTTGAAGGAACCTCTTCTCTTCTGCATCCTGATGCATCGGCTCATCTGAGTCCACATCGTCTAAAAGAGGCATCGAGTACGGTTTTCTGTTGAATAGATTCTTGGGTTTCATCTTTTTCGAGTTCAAAGCAGTTATTGGAGACATGGTGTACAGCTGATCGGAAGTCTCCTTCGATTTTTCTTCTTCAGTATCTTCAATTTCCAGAGGCTCCTTTAATTTTTGCCCCTGCAAGTCGGGCTCCTCCTCTTGCTCGTCAGCCACCAAGTAGTTCATATTTAGATCCTCCGCATTGACGCAGTTGTCTTCGTTCAAGGCCAATTGTTGGTAGAAGCCAAAATCCTGCTCCGGATTGGAGAAAGCCTGGCGAGCTTGCCTCATGGCACCCTGAAAACTTTGGCGACAAGCATAACTCTTAGACCGTAAGGTTCCCATAATACGCTGATTCCTTTCAAAATCAAAAATCTTGGTGCTCGGAACTTTGGCGTGGTTGCGAGATCCATAGAAGTATACGTCGTACGCGTTGGAGCCCACGCGATCCAGGATTCTGCCTGGCCAGGCTCGATATCCTCGCACTTTGGCGAACACAAAGTCACCAATCGTGAACAGTGGTACCTTTTTACTGTGACGACCCATGTTTCGAATAAAATTCACAAATTTTGTAGAGAAATCGGATGAAGCAAGCTCTATTTTTCTGAAGTTCAAAAGCGAAAGAAGAAGAGCCAGCATATGATTTTCTAGGAAGTAATGAGGCTGCCAGACTGTCCGATTGGGGAACGTCAAAAAAGGGGATAGGTAGTGTTGAACAACGGTTTTAGTACTCGTTACTAATAATAGTTGCTAACTATATGCTTTTAAAAATAGGGTTTTAAAGGCTTCTTAGTGTATATTAAGCCTTTTGAACCTCGTTTAAATATTTGATATTCCAAGGCACACTCAACTCGTGGTCAATTTGCGATATATTCCGGCAAACTTACCATTCGAATGGCAAGCGAATTTGGGTCATTTGGGTGGGCGGGCAATGTTTCTTTAATGAGCAAACAACATTTGCATTAATGGTCATTTGCGTAGAAATTTGCACAACACGCTACCTGCACTCGGCTTTTCATTCTCCGCCTCTGTGCGTGTGTGCAGTTCTCTTTTAAATTTTTGCTCACGTTCGCCGTATTATGCGCAAATTGGCTTTTTAAATTGTCGACTTGTTTAAGCTAAACGCAGCTACACTTTATGGCCATGTTCCGTGCTGCATTTTAAGCCATGCGAAATAGCGCTAAGCCCTTCGCCCTCCATTCGCATTCGCTTAACTCAATTATAATAATTTTAATTTAGCCCCGGCATGGCCTGAAAAAATGGCAAAATTGCATTATTTACCAGCCGTAATTACAACAATATTTATATGCTAATGAGCCCGTCACTTCGCGGCATTAATGCCACAACGATGGGAAATTAACAACAGTCAGAGTTCTGGGAAATGGGCGTTCAAGTTTTCCTTAGCCAACCATGTTCGTTTCAGAGTATTTCTGGGCTGGTCTACAAGACGACCTCGGCGAACTGTCACCTGTCTCCGCTCAGAGCTCGGTGCTCAGAATTCAATTGGAAAATGCAATTTACGATCTGGCCACGAGACCCACAACACTAATACCCGGCAGCCAGCTCCCCGCCCCGAATTTTCCTGCATTTTCCTGCACATTAAGCCCACAGGCTGATTGAGGCACGGGGGCATAAGCTACGCATGTAATTTCTAAGTAATTTTTTCAACTATCATCGGCTCAGACAAACGACAGCCACTCCGTCGACGGCCACGCACTTTGTACACTGAAAAAAGAGGGAATTGCTCCCTTAAAATACTTAAAAACCTATCTAATTGGAAATTGGATTATAGGTAACTCCTTTGAGTCAGTGGCGGATACAGGGGGGCGATAGGGGCGATCGCCCCCCCTCAGCTTCTGAAAAAGGTGCTTCACTTGAATGCGTCCGACTCCTCAGAAAACGCGTGAACCGAGTGAACTGGTGTGAACTTCGGAAACCTGCGTGTTACAGCGTGTCGCCAGTCCTTCCTTGCCCTACTTCTATCCCTCCTCCTAAGACTAACTGGCCTAGCATTGCTACATACGCATTCCGAAATCAGTATTGACATCGAGAGAGTTATAGAAAAGTTTTTAAAAAGAGGGAAAAGAAAAATGGAATTCGCAATTTAGATTAAAATTAATTAATTTATTTGTACAGTGTGTTTTGAATAAAACTGCGTATAATTTTTGATTATTTGCCACCTGCTACTTGCATTATTTAAAAAAAATTTTGATCGCCCCCCCCAGGCAGATACCTGTATCCGCCCCTGCTTTGAGTGGCTTATAAAAGTATGCAAATAATTAAATAAATAAAAAAATATGGAGTATTATCATTCAAATAAACACATTTTCTACCCGTGCAACCCCGAAACGCATTACAATTACAGGTGATCAAGAGGAGGAGGCAGCCGGGCCAACAGGCACAAGCCAGCGCGTTAAGTTGGAAAAATTAAGTAACGAAAGCAGTGAATAGGATTGGGAATAGCAATGGGCCAGGGAATAGGAATAGGGAATGGCAATGGCCATGGCGAACGACAGGCAGGCATAAATTATGATTCATTTGGACGCTTCCTTATGACACCGAAAGGCAGACGAAAAGCACTTAGCCAAGTTATTCAGAAAGGAAAACTTGAAGTTGCGCTGTGGGAAGTGCAGAGTGATTAGCCAACGACGCCTAACAAGTATTTATGCTACTATCTGCGACTCAGTTTGTGCCAATTTATTGGCTTCATTGACTGGAAATGGTCAACATCAGCAATTTGGCCAGATTGTTTGCCTTGTGTTTAGCCAAATGCTAATTGAAATGTCTGCATTGCGGGCCAGATTTCCCACTGCACTCCACTCGATGCCATGGGTGTGCCTCTCTATAAATGGCAACTGGGGACATGTAATCAAAACTGGGGAAATCGGGCAATGCCATCAGGTTCGGCTCATCAACAGGTTTCTTCGGAGGAAAGGCAATGGGGCTAATGAATGGCTGCGTCCGCTAATTGTGCTGCAGAAGAACGAGTTAAACGGGATCATGGGAGGGCAATCAAAATCAGTTAAACGATGGCCACATGAAACTTAACTAGAAAATAAAATCACACCTATATTTTAATAAGTGGCTATTGTCACGGAATTTGTTGTCTCGAAATTTCTTATGCTGCTTCACAGTGGTTTCCTCTATATTTTTAGTTGGTAACATCTTGATTTAAATTATTAAAAGAGTGTTTCTGTTAACTATTAAAATATTTATTTATTAAAAAAAATTCTTGTTGATTAACTCAGCCATAAAGAAATATTTAACTACTTATTTTAGAACCTAAACATGTTTTCCTTATTCGAAAAACTCCACCTTTTAATCGGCTTACCAGGCACCGCTGAACAAAAGACTTAAGACACGAACTCGACCACCCGAGGCCCATTTCCTGCAACACTCGCACCTCGATTGTTTGCATAATAATCGCCATGAGTCCGAGTCCCGAGTCCGAGTCAATTAAGTGGCTCTCTAATTAAGTGATTAAAACGCACGCAGAAGGAGCCGAGGAAAATTGTGAAAATATGCCAGTTCATAAAGCAAAGCCGCACGCCTCAGCTGCTCGTGGTTGAGTCCACACCCGCGATTTGATAAAACTGGGGGCCTTTGCAGTTTTTCCAGGAACAAACACGCTTTCGCATTTTAATGCGGCACAAATGAGGCGGCGAGGCGAACCAGGCCATATGGAAAAATGTGAATGTATCAGAGATTCGAGGTGTGAGTGCTTGGATACACACACTCACACACAAACACACTCTCGCCTGCTTGTTTCTAGCTAATAAATGTTTTTTTAATGAATAAATCACTCAGCGATAAACATCTGCTTAATAACGTTCATTTAAAGAAGCGAAAACAAAACACACAACCAACACACAACGGGGCAAAGAAAGCCAAGCTGAGCGGAAAACAAAACAAAAACCCAGCACCAATGAGTTGGCGTTGATTTCAGACATTTAACTCTTTGAGCCCAATAGAGAAACTTTGAATGATTGCGCCCAGCAACGCAATATTTTCCCCATAAGGAGAAAGAAACCTAAGAAATAAAATCAACTTCAGTGCACCTGCTGAAATTCTAATAAATGAGGTTTGCTGTTTTAAAACAGCTTTGAAATGAATTAGTTAAGATAAATAAAATAGTTTAATTATGATTTTAATAGAACTGAAATATAATATTATTTGCTTTGCATGGGTTAACTATTTAATAATGAAATGACTCCAACTTCACTAGTATTTCTCCCCCTGCTGTGCACACCCATGGCCTTGTCTGCTGGCTGTCTGCAAGTGCCACAGAATTTATTTCGTACGTCTTCTTCACGTCCAAGTCCAACTTGATGGCGAGCACAGCTGACATATGCGAATAGCTCCGCTCAGCTCCACTCCGATATGAAAATTAATAATTCCCGGGCAGTTTTGGTATGCCGAGCACACTCAGACGGATTTGCTGCTGCTACCTGGGAAAACGTGTTCTCAGACATGTCCAGTGGGGCAATCATCAATGTCAATTAAATGTTAAAATGTTCGAGGCCACTTGTGGGAGTTCGAGCAGGATGCGCATGACCTAGGAAAATTCCTCAACCCCAAGCAGATAAAGTCGTCTCAGCCCCAAATTCATTACACCCACTCTCATTCAGAAACCCACTCCGCCTCACCGAACATAAATCTACGCCCCCAAATCTACATATTAACGCCAGGGAAGGGGCCACTCAATGCCAGCGGACAGCGCCAACGATCACTTACTTTATGATCACTTGAAAACCAATCAAGCACAATAAATAATCGCTCTGCAGCAGGGACAAGCTGCGATATTGAAAATCCTGCACCCAGATGGGCAGCCAAGCTGCAGGACTGCGACTGCGACTGCGACTCGAACACATTAAATTATATTCACACTTTGGCCCCCAGAAAATGAAATGGTTTTAAATACGAAGGAAAGCCAAACAAGACGAAGATCGCATTGGCGATCAGCAAACAGCTTTGGACAAAGAAGAGGCACGCAGAAAAAAAGTGGGTTCCTTGACCATGATATATGTAATAATTATAAATAATTACAAATTTAAATAGAACGATTTTTCTTTTCTTTATTAATAATGTAATATTTATAAAGTGTGCGTTAAGCTGGAAGTTTGTTAAAAGTTAAAATATATGTCAAATTGAAAATGTTATTTTTAAAACTTCGATTGGTTATTTTCTCATTACTATTTCGTTTGTTAAAATTCCCACAAATTTTTAAATTTTTTTATATTTACAGTATAATAGCATAATCCCTGCTTTGAATACTTCAAATAGTTCTTTAAAATACATATATATTTTTCAGTGCAGAAGGCAGGATGCGTTATGGCCGGACAGTTGGACACTCGGACTTGGAAAGAGGTGGGTCTGCGGATGGAGAGGAGTCTTGGGCTTGAGACCTGGACCCAAAACGATCTCTCCCTGGGCCAGGCTCCATTTCTGTTTCTGTCTTTCTTTCTTTCTGTTCCTGCCCCATGCCTCCGACTGTGGCTCGCTTATCATCATAACAATAATGTTAAAGTGGCAAAATGGCAAACTATGCGCAAAATGCATAAAATTTATAGCCAACTGGCCCCGGCAATGGCAAAACAGATTTGTATTTGTTATTGTATCTGTATCTGTATTATTGGCCCATGTTTTTTCGTGAATTTCACGCTTCCGCTCTTGCTCGAATCGCTGGTCAAAAGTTGGGCCCAAAACGAACACGATCACAATGGGACACATGCGGTGGAAGGAGCCATTTCTGTTGTGCTAACCAGTGGATCCATGGTTCGGCTTCTGTGGGGGATAAATATTAAATGAGGGTACAAACTCAAGGGTTATAGGGTTAAGGCTCACAAAAAGTCAATCGGATGCAGTTGATTAACAAATTTAATATTAAACATAAGACAGCACCTATAAAAACATTGGAATTTTAAACATAAGTAGAATATATATGAGATAAATATAATAAGGAAAAAAAATCTTAAGGATAGATTGAAACTATCAGCAAATAGAAATTTTAAATAGGAATTTAATTTAATTTTTATTATTTTTTTTTTATTTTGACCATTACAAATTTCTCCAAATAAATTCCGCATTGCAATTTAACCTTCTCCAAGCGCTTTCACCATTATCTCGGCAATGGCTATCCTCTGATTAATACCAGTTCAAAAGCTCTCGCATAGATCTAATTTTACCCGCGGGTTATGGTGTATAATTGGTCATCTAAGAGCCACTCCCTTCGCATGCTTGGCGAAATGTAAACAATTAACTGGCAAATGCAAATACGAGTGAAATTTCCACCCCACAAGCCAATTACTCAAGACCCGAATCGGTGGAAAAACGATGAAAAAACGAGGAAGTGAGCTGCCAATGAGCGTGAAAAGGCAAACACCTCGAAGCGCATAAATTAAGCCGCATCGACAATTCGGAAAATCTCGTGGAAAAAGGGGAGAGCCCAATCCAGTTTTTGGCTGCAGGCTGGCAAATCGAAGATGGCTAGAAGACAGCGGATGGCCAGAATCTTCGGATGAGTGGGCGCTGGCAATTGAGCCAATTGAAAGCCCACAACGCGTATACGCCCCGTTGCACTTGACTCCCCATAACGATGGCTTGTTTATTATTACAGATTTTCTTTTTCTTGCTCACCACCCCCCAAATAAATCGAATAAACCACTAGACTAGCTAATGAACATGAACATGAATAACTTAAGCGAAACTATTTGACATTTGTTGGGCTTGTTGTGGCATCTCGCATTAATAAAACATCTGAAATAATCAAGACAACAGCAGACAAAAGAGCCAACTAATTTTTGGAAGCGTTCGAAACTCGTTTTTAACACCTCAGGGGTGGAGCCACGATTGGTGCGAGCGAGACGGAGCTTAAGGTGCGAGGGAGAGGGACTGAATTTAGGGGCCATCACAGAAATCAAGTCACAATAAAATGTAAATATTCTCGTGTCCGAAGAGCGTCGAACATTTCGCTTTGGCGATTAATTAAAGACTCATTAAGAATTTGTTCAACTCGGCCGATTAATTAAAAGGCTGTTAAATGAGAAAAGGGCAAAAACAAAGCAAACGACGTTATAAACAATTTAACTAATGTCCATCAAAAAACTTTGTAAACAAACTGGCCTTCCAAATACTTGAAATATTTTGCTTTCGCATAAATTTAATTTTATTAGAATACAGAATTTTTAAAAGTAGAAAAGCGATACTTGCCTGTTAATATAAAATGATAAAAAATATTAAAAATAAAGCTTGGTAATATGATACGAATGTAAGGAACTGTAAAACTTGGGGGATGACAAATGCCTTCGATGGAGCTGTTGATAAATGCCCAACGGTTCGGGGGCTGTTTGAAAAATCGTTTGGCCAAAGATCACGCAACGACCAAATTGAAACGTCACCAGTCACAGGCGGCCAAGATTGTTATTGTTGGCCGACTGGTGCTGTTTCTCCATGAATATTAACACATTAAAATGGTAAACGTGGTTGAGTGAAAAATTAACCCAAAGCAGCCGAAATGTGGCTGCGGCTGCGGCTGCAGCGTAAATTATGCAAAGTCATCAAGTCAACGTTATCCAAACATCAATGGCCTGCGAGGCCTGGGAAAAAATTAGCATAAGCCAACCAATTCGACGGAATGAAGAGGAGCCTTTTGCCCGAGGGCCAAATGGCGGAAGGGAGGATTCACCACACTTTGGGAAAAGTTTGATTGCATATTTGAAATTCCTTTCTAAAAACCTTAAGGCTCACTCTAATGCATTTTAAAAACAGTTGAGTTATAGAATGGGATTCATAGATATATATTTAAAGAGAGTTTAACTACATTAAAAACATTTTTATATATTAAAATATAATTCCCAATGAAAGGTTTTTCCCCAAGTGCAGGTAGCCAGAGTTAAGGAACAGGGAATGGCCCAGGCATGGCAGGAATGCCACATTGATGCAGTCACTTTGATAGCGCGACATTAGCAGCAATTTATATGCAAATGCAGCAGCGCAGGAAAGAGGAGAGAGGACGGGATGCCACGGCGAGTACCACAAACTGATTGATGGTCTCATTTCAAGAGATGCCAAAGTGCGTAAGCCAAGACCCAGGGCCCCAAAGGGGGAGATGGGCAGCGGGAGTGGTCCATGTAGGCAGCATCATTAATGCGAATCATTAGCAGTGCTCGTTGATAAGATCGGGTGCAAATTATGCAGCAGTCGCAGCTGGAACAAAGCCCTTAAAAAGCAATGGGCTCCTCCTTTCTGGTCCATGATTCATGGCTGCTTAAAGGCTTTCAAGGGGCGGTGAGTGAGTAATTTTTAATTGCCAATTAAAATGCTCCAATGAAGATGTGAAAGCTGCCCCCAAAAGCTAGAACTGGAAATCCTTGAGCCATAATTAGGGGGAGGGTCTAAATTAAACTCATACGAGTTTGGGAGGTTTCTCACAGGGCATATTAACCTGTAACAATCAGCATGTTGTTAATCAACTTGAGATTAGTATAAAATAGAAAATCACCAATTAATATTATTAAAGCTTTTGTAAAACTGGCAATTGTTTTTTTTTGTGTTTTTAATCTTATGGTAACATTTTTCTCTTACAGACTTTTAAACTACGCGCTCTTTTGGTATTTTCCACTTCTGGTATTAAGTATTTTTTCTTCTGACATATATGTGTGGCCAGATGGCGTCAAAATCAACGGGCGTGAATGTAAACATATTGGAAAAAGACCAGAAAATTGAATCGCGTTGCCAACTTCTTAAAAGAACTCTGATAAACGTTCGTCTGGTTGCCGCAGATCAAACCCAACTTGTTCTTTTAAAAAGCGTAAATCGTTTCTCAAAAAGCAATGCATATAGCCTTTTTTTAGCCAATTTATTTTAAGTTCTTCCTCGTCAACAAACTCAGCTGATAAGCAGTAAGACCATGATTTCAAATGAATTCATAAATTCGGCCACACTACAAGGAATAAAATTTTTCCGCAAGGAAAAGCCATACAAGTGTGGAAATGGAACCCAAATAGGCCAAAGAAGCTATCAGGATGAGTGCGGAGGACCAGGCAAATCTGCTGCGAGTTCTGATCAATTGTGCGGAGAAGGCGGCCAATATCGCCAGAACCTGCCGCTCAAACGAAGAACTCCTGGCATTGCTAGTGCAGGAAAAAAAGGGATCGGAGGCCAACGAGCGGTTTGAGCATGATTTCAAGACGCTGGCCGATGTCCTCATCCAGGAGACAATCAAGCACGAGGTGGGATCTCTTTTCCCAGCAATGAAGGATGCGATCCTGGGCGAGGAGTCCCCAAACTTCACCAACCAACTGGGCGAAAGTGTCACTATTGCAGTGGGCTCGTGTGAGGAGGAGACTGCATCTTGTCTGCAGGCTGTCTTAAGTGGCCACGAAGGAGCAGCTAGTGCTTTGGCCAAGGAAGTCCATCAGGAGGTTAACTTTAACAGCGAAAAGCTGGGCGAGATTCCCCCACTTCCGGAGGAACTAGACTATGCCAATCTGGGCATTTGGATCGATCCCATTGGTGCGTATTTGTAATAGATAATGTATTCATTTTTGTACATCTTTGTTATTGTGTTTAGACGCCACCGCGGAGTACATTTCGGGCGACACCATGTTCACAGACTTTCCCGGCATCACATCCACCGGATTGGATTGCGTCACCGTGCTGATTGGTGTCTACGAGCGGGATACTGGAATCCCAGTCATCGGGGTGGTGGCCCAACCCTTTGGAGAGAAGTTGGAGGAGAACGTTTACAGCTCCTCGATGTTCTGGGGTGTTTGCCTGCCCTCGTTGCAGGCCCACAATTGCCATTTTGAGGCTCGTGACGAGAACCGTCGGTTAGGAATATTCTCCAGCTCAGAGCAGTCCGATATCCTACAGCGTTTCCTCGATCTGGGCTACGAATTTGCATTTTCTGCAGGAGCGGGCCATAAGGCTTTGAAGGTGATAACTCACGAAGTGGATGTGTATCTACTTAGCAAGGGATCGACCTTCAAGTGGGATACCTGTGCTCCTCAGGCCATTTTGCGAGCTCTTGGCGGCGATGTCCTTGACTATACAGCCAGTGTTGCGGAACAGAAGGCGGTTTCCTTGAGGTACCTGATGGAGGACACTGAATCCGATGCTGACTGGAAGCGAAATGCAGGCGGTATAATCGCAGTGCGCGATGTCAATGTCGTGGAGGAGTTGCTCGCGAAGCTCTCCGAGCAATGAATGTTGTTATTGTTGTAGTCTTATTGCTGTTGTAATTCATTCGATGTGCGACTTTGAGATGAAGTCGAATATATTTATACATATTATTTAACTTGAATCATTGAAAGAAACATCAAAGGCATCTATAAGAACAAAACAAAAAACGAAAGATTTTAATTGATTTCTGAAATACACGGTGGTGTACGCTATGCTATAAACTTATTAAGGAATGCAATCCATGTTGTCATGTAACTTGAAGTCGAAATGAGTCATATTCTTAGTTGTCTAGTATATTTTCCATGTTAGGGATCCTTATGACACGCGTATCGGGCTCTGGACCCTCCTCAACGTCACACTCAAACTTGACCGTATGAACGAGGAAATGCGCCAAAGCCTTAAAATTCTTGGATTTGTCGAAGCCTGAAATGAAGATATTAATATGAATGTAAAAAACGGGTAATCAAGTACTATTCTACCAGCTATGTAGCACTTGGTGGCATAGACGCCACTTAGAAGATCCTCGGGAATGGGCTTCAGATCTTCAACGCCCACGTATTCAATGTTTCCGAAGTCACAATATAATATCTTTGCCACTTTGTCCTTAACGTCTTGGCAAACTCCACGATACCAACTCTTATCCTCATTAAAGAGCGCCAAGCACACTTCACCAACGCTACAAAATAGGATAGTTAGCTCATAAAATAATATATATAAGTATTTTTTGATTCTTACCCCGGCTCGTAACCAGGCACAACATTGTGTTCGCACGCTCCATGTTGGACAACCAAATTAAGTAGATTCTGACATTTTTCGGCCACCTGTCCGTTCTCAAAGAAACAGGCGGTGATGTAGCCGGTTTCTGACATTTCGAAAGCGTTCAACAGAATTACGGGAATCTTGTTCCCAACGGGGACCAAATACTTGGGCATAGCATTGAAAAAGAAGCGTTCAAAGGGTTCTTTGGTTGCGGTTTCTTGAGTTAAGTTGACCGAATTTACAGGAATAGGAGACACCGGAGGCGAAGGTGGCAACGGGGGCAGATCTATGGCTGCCTCCAGCATAACAGGATCTGTTTTTTTGCGATTTACTGGCGAGGCAACAGGGGATGGAGCCGGAGTCAGAGCGTCTTTTGGCTCAGTAGCTGGAGTTCCTTCCTTTACCGGTGTAAACATGAGTGGCAGCATTTGGTTTACCAACGAGCGCATATCGCCAAAATTGGACAAAAGATCCACAGTAGAAGTGCCTGCATCTACAATTTCGAGAGTAAGTTTTTCCTCCTGCACGCAAAGGTTGTGCAGCATTTGGATGGCGGCATTATTTGCTGGTACAGCGGCGTCCGGAATATTGCAAACGGTTTTTAGCTGGACGCCCATCAGGCAGACGGGCAGATTCTCCAAGAAGCGACAAGACATACGCATCGCAGTTAAATCGACATTTTGGGTGGCACCCGTATCAATGTTCTTTACAATATAATTGTCGTCCTTGGTACCCAAAACCTGTGCGATTGGAAATCGTTATTACCGAAATGCCGATAGAATTTCAAACTACTGACCTCGCCACGGAAACAGCCCAGCTTGGAGGTAACTAGTACAACGCAGCCAAATGAAACCTCGCTGGAATCCTGGAAAGGAGTGCACTTGGACTCCAGACGCTTGAAGATCCCCGGATAGTTCTTGCTGTCCTGGGAGCTTATGTAGACCTTCTTGTAGCTATCGACATGGGTAATGACCACTTGAGCATTGTTTTCAATCGGTTCACGCCAATACTTGTGTCCCAAGTCAGATATCTGACCTAAGAAAGTGCTCAGCCGTGCCATACAGATCTGTTGACCCCTGGCAAGCAACACGGCATCTGCGGCACGTATCTTTTCCTTTGGCGGTGTGTTATCCAACTTAAGCTTCACCGTGAGATCAGCACCATCAGACTCAAGCTCCTTCGGAACGGAGTCTTTAAGCTGAGCGGCAAACACGCGGATTGGAAGGCCAAGTAGCTCGCTGGGAATGCGACTGACCTCGTCGGTGATCGACACTCTTCCCTCGTCCATTTCGTAAACCAAAAACGTTGGCGTAGGCCTCGCAATATGGTCCAAGAGGAAGGCTCGCCGATAGCCATCTTTAGTGCGAGCGGCCACGAAGAAGGTGCACTTCTCCTCGGGAAAGGGTCCCGTGAACGGTTGTCCTGGCTTTCCTGCCAGGCTTGCATTTAGGTCCTTGTTTATGTGATCTAACACGTTTATCTGAAGTAGAGCCACCAGCGGCTCGTTGCGTGTTAGACTTTGCTCAAAGACCCGAATCACCTTAACCTCAGGATTCAGTTGCAGCATCTCCAAAGGTAAACTGAGTGGTATGGTCATCTTGGGCTTCAGATGGACATGATAAACGCCCTGATGGGTTTTGGTTCCGAGCAAACGGAGAGTAAGATTCTTGTTGACCTGGACTCCGGTATTTGTAGGCAGCTTCACCCGGAAAGCATGAGCCTTGAGCTTGGCCATATTGGGAACAGCGGAATAAATATCGCAGAACGATGTGGCCACCACCGGTCCATAGTCAATCATTCGTACGTCGGCCTCTTCTTTTTGCTCGTCAACAGTCAGCACCTGGCCACGGTGAACTTTATTGTCCACATTAATGGCCACCAATATGTCTTCCTTGACGTTTTGTAGACGAACCAGCTTCTGCTGCTGCATGCAGCGCTGCAAGTTGTCCGCCAGGCGCTCCATGCTCTTCACATTGGCAATGTGCACCACCCAGATGGGGCCGTCCTTTTCTATGAAGGTTACACGGCACTCGAAGAACTCTTCTCCTTGTGGCAAAAAGTGTTCGCGCCAAATGTTTGAGAGTTCCTCCTCCTTAGGACCGACGGAACACGACTCCACAGATGTTTGGTTCAGTTTTGGAGCTGGATCTGGGGTCGATGCTTGAAATTCGGCCGGAGATTCTTCCAGAGAAATATTGGACATAGCCTTCTCCAAGCTCTTGATCGGATTCAGCGGCTGCTGAGCGTGCCAAATGGATACCAAGGGCCTGAAAAGTGTATTGATTTATTTCGTGCCATTATAAAAACCGTTAAATTTGTTAGACTTTGAGTGGCAGTTTAATTACTAATTTACTTACGGCATTATGATGCAAACATGTTTGTGTCGCTGCCAATCCAACCGTTGGCATCCGTCCCTGCAATAGGGTTCTCCGCACCGCTGGCACATCAACCCGGCCGGATTTCCACAGACAACACAAGTCTTTTCCTCCGAATTTGTCATTTTCCGGAAACCTTCGAGAACACGCCGCGCAAAATAATAATGAATGAAAGAACGGTGAAACGTAAAAAAGATCGACAAATATGGCGGACTAACGGAACTTTTTCTTAGAAAGCGATAAGTTTTAAAAAGTACATATAATCAAATAACTAATGAGCACTTGGAAGACTTTATAGAAACTTAGTACCTTTTTCTAGAAGATGTATGTTTTTAACGAACCGGCGTTAAACGTGAATATTTAATTCAAATTTTAAGCTTCAACGAACACGCGCTTCTTAACCAGAGGGACCTGAACGATAATTCCAAATGTAGCGCTGTGTTGCCAGACTGATAAATTACTTCTGGCAACACCGGCAAAAACTTTTAGTAGCCAGATTTACTATAAAACAAAAAAATTATTATGTTACACTCAAATTACTTTTGCTTAAGCTGACTTTAATTTTATTTGAATAAAAAAAATTATACCTGTCTTTTTTTGTAAATATTCATTTATCTTTTTCAGCTATTTTTTAGAATTGTACTTAGCTTGTTTCCTTCAGTAAGTGTTGGCCACACTGTTTCCCGCCTCTTTTGGGCATTCAGTGAATTTACCAATTTATTTGTTTACCAATTGTGTAGTTTCAAAATAAGAGCTCTCCGCAGTTTGACAACTAAGATGAGCACCAAAAGCGGTCAGAAAACACCGCGGAAGCAAAACCTTAAATCCATCGAAAATCTTACGAACTCGGAAGAGGACTCCGAGGATCTAAACACGGCATTGGTTGAAGGCTCTGAAGAATCCCAGTCTACGAACACCAGGCGCCGTTCCACACGTCGTCCAAGTCCCACCAAAAAATACCAGGCCTACAAACAAGAATCAAATGGAAAACCCGAAGAGGAGCGCATTGTACTAAACTATGCGGAGATAACGGATGAGGAGACTGAGGAGCCGGAGGACGAAGAACAGGAAGAGTCTAACGAGGATTCGGAGAATGCAGAGAGGCCCACTTCCAAGGATCTTCACCTCATCCAATCGGAGTACAATGTAGCCGGAACCAGCATGTTTGGCTTCAATACGCCCAAAAAACGTGATGCAATGGCCCTAGCCGCCCTGAATGCCACGCCTCGCACGCCCAAGACTCCAAAAACCCCACGACTGGGGGTCAAAACTCCAGATACAAAGCGGAAGAAGTCAACCGATCAGCCAAAGACGCCTGCACATGTGCGAACTCGTGTAAAAAACCGTGAGTAGTCCTTTTAAAAATTGTTAATTATTTTCATGAATTATGAATACGTTTATTATAACCTTTTAGAGATTGCTAAAATAGTGGCCGACTCGGATGAGGATTTCTCCGCAGACGAGAGCGACTTTCGGCCCAGTGATGATGAATCCTCCTCTAGCAGCAGTATGAGCAGTGACGGCGACTCTGATGATAATGATGCAGCCGATGATGAGCCAAAAACGCCCTGCAAGGCCCGTCGTGCCATTGTGGTGCCCGTCCTGCCAAAAACTCCATCTGCAGCTCGTCTCCGACAAACAGCAAGGGCCAAGAAATCGAATGAGTTTGTGCCCGAGAGCGATGGATACTTTCACTCGCACGCCAGCAGCAAGATTCTCACCTCGGATCACACATTGGATCGTTTGAAGAATCCCCGCCTGGCAGCTGATCGTGTGTTTAGTTTGCTATCTAAAATTAAGCTCTCGACGGAGCATGAATCCTCTATTAATGCTATAATGGAAGAGTATCGTTCTTACTTCCCGAAGTGGATGTGCATCCTGAACGAAGGCTTCAATCTACTTCTCTATGGATTGGGCTCCAAGCGGCAGCTACTACAGTCATTCCATCAGGAGGTACTGGATAAGCAAACAGTGCTGGTCGTCAATGGATTCTTTCCCAGCTTGACGCTCAAGGATGTGCTGGACAGCATCACAAGTGAGATCTTGGACGCGGGCGTTAGTCCTGCCAATCCTCATGAAGCGGTGGATATGATCGAGGAGGAGTTTGCCCTGATACCGGAGACACATTTGTTTCTTATTGTACACAATTTGGATGGAGCGATGCTGCGCAATGTAAAGGCACAAGCGATTCTATCGCGTTTAGCAAGGGTTCCAAATATTCATCTGCTGGCATCCATTGATCACATTAATACCCCGTTGCGTGAGTATTTTTATTAATTTGTATTACCTTTTCGACTTCGCTAATTAACGTCTCCTTATTACCAGTTTGGGACCAAGGAAAGCTAAGCAGTTTCAACTTCTCGTGGTGGGACTGCACCACAATGCTGCCATATACGAATGAAACTGCCTTCGAGAACTCCCTGCTGGTGCAAAATTCCGGCGAACTGGCCCTCTCCTCGATGCGCAGTGTGTTCTCCTCGCTGACGACCAATTCGCGTGGCATCTACATGCTGATAGTAAAGTACCAACTGAAGAATAAGGGCAATGCCACATACCAGGGCATGCCGTTTAGAGATCTTTACTCGAGTTGTCGCGAGGCCTTCTTGGTCAGTTCAGATCTCGCCCTACGTGCGCAGCTTACAGAGTTCCTTGATCACAAGCTGGTCAAATCAAAGCGAAGCGTTGATGGCTCCGAACAGCTAACCATTCCCGTTGACGGAGGACTGCTGCAGCAGTTCCTCGAGGAGCAGGAGAAGAAATAAACCGTCGGCGTAATTTTAGAACATATTAATTTATTATCTAATATTGTTAAATACAATTACAATTTCGCTTTTTAAAAATGTCTTGTTGCTGTCACTTGTTGTATTGCCCATTAGTGCAGAATTTTTGTTCTTTGTTTGTCAATTTCTACACATTTAGATTGGCATGCATAAAAGTTGTCGGCTTACTAGATACACATTTTAGATGGCTAGTTTTGTCTTTCCCAAACTTATTTCTCTCCAATTGCGAGCAGAGCAACACAAAACTGAACACCACAAGTGCTTCCTGCCGCCGGGGATGACCACCATTAGATTTGATTAGGATAAGATTAAGCGAAATAAATAAAGCTAAGCATGCCGAAATTAAACAACTTCCTACCGGTCATCCCGCGCTTCCGATCTTTCCAAAGGCTAATATTGGTTACCTATTACTATACAGACACGCACATACACAGATTAAAGCATTGGACTTGTAACTAGTTAATTGTGCACTCGAAACAAAATTAAATTGCTGCGACTAAGGCTAGTTTATTTACACTTTCTTGATAGCAAATCACATGCGAAGTCAATCGGAAGTACACATACATTGGAAAGCGATCAAATAGTTGCTCCTATCATAACTATTTTAATTTACTGCAAAAATTCTACCCTTTCCTGAATACCTGAATTGTACACACCAAGTTTACGATCTGCATTTTAGCATATAAAAATGTCATCTCTTCACCGCCGTTTTTCGTTTAATAGTTAGATAAATTGTTATCACGTTTACTTTACTCGTACTTTTAACCTTCGTTTGTGGAAAAGTCAAAATGTTCTGAATCAATCAGAAGAGAAACCACCCAAGAGAATCTCCCCTTTACAAAATGAATCGATGCATTATAGGTTTTGTTTTTTTTTTTTCAATTTTTATCTGCTTACTATACACAAATTGCTACTGCTTGCATTTATTTCGACAATGTTTTGTTTGTTTTTATAGTTTTGTACAACAAATTAATTACATTTGCGCTTAAACAAAGAGAAACAGGTTGCTGAGTTTAAATACTTAAGAAAAGAAAAGGAAGCAAAAAAATTAAAGATAAAGAAGTGAATATTGAAAGATAGATGTTAGGGACAGTGGGGAATCCCAGTGATAAAGAATAAATTTATACATTCTCCTCAATTTCAAAGGGGGAGGCGTGGATTTTGGTGGGCGGGTGCTATTAAACCTTGAATGCTTTAAAAATTGTTCCGAGTTTACATATACACAATATATAAATCAACTTCATTATCATATCCGTATCATTACTCATTTACTCGTTACTCATTAGTCATACTCATCGAATATACATCACAATCAAAGTGTACGCTTTGTAATTATACGCAGTAATCGGTAATCATAATCGTTATAATTATAATAATAATAATAGTTACGCTTTCTCAGTGAATTTCTTTATTTTTGTTTTATTTCTGCCTTCGATTTTATACTTTTACGTTTTACTTTACTTTAAATTTAATTTAATTTAATTTTAATTTTTCCATTTTTTGTTTTTTATGCTCTTTTTTTGTTGGTATTATTAATTGTTTGTTTTTTCCTTTTTAAATTGCTGCTTTTGTTTCAAGTTGTGTTTGGACTTAAGATTAAAATTAATTCATAATTATTACTCGTAAACATATTAATCATAGGTAATATTAAATCAACAAATAAAATACATTTAAAATCAAGTTTTATCAAAGTGAATTAAATTACTTGAAATCGAAACAATAAACTGCTCTGCTTCTGCTTCTGCATTTGCATTATCTTTCTGCTGTTGATATAATTTATTGTGTTTGTAGTATTGCCGTATGTTTTCTTGAGGTTGGCCGCCAATCGATCGATCAAATATTTCAAATGCCTGCTGCATTGGTTCAAGTTCTCATCAAATGTATTGCAAATGTTGGATCGATTGTTGGTATTGGGTTGTTGCTTTTTGATTGTTGTTGGTGTACGGTTCTCTGATGTTGCTGTTGTTGTTTTTATTATTGTTGCTGTTGTTGTTTTTGTTGTTGTTGTTTTTGTTGGTGTGATTGTTGCATTGTTGTTTCAGCTCATTTTCACGCGTTTCCTTGGTGGTCCAATTGGTGGGATTTGTTGTGTTGCGAGCGCACGAAATGCCTCCGCTATCAAATGTGAATGTGTTGTGATCATATTTTGCCAGCCGGAGGTTTCCATCACATCGGTGGCATGACTGTAAATAAACCATAAGTTAGTTACTTGTTTCGTTAAGATTAAATGATCAATATGAACTCACGTATTTATGAAATCTATCGTTTGTGCTTTCAATTGATCCGCACTGTGGAGATCAGCTAATATTAGTGTTTCGGCTGCTGTTTCTACAGAGAGATTGACGCACAGCGCCTCCTCGCACATCACTTTCAGCTTTTCGAGTGCATACTGCAATGACAAATAATATATAGTTTATTAATAACAATTCGATTTGGCTTTTTGGGGCAGGCGGACGCACCTTATCAGCAGCCGCTAGGAGATCATCAGCCATTTTTTCTAGATTGGGCGCCTTGCCCGTGTATATGAATCGCAGCATTTCTTTAAGAACCTCATGATCCACATCGGTTATGGCGACACGATTCAGCTTTCGCTCCTCCATCTCATGCTCAAACATGGCCGCAAAGACATCGCTGCGCGCTGTAAATAAAAATATTAAGAAATTGTTTAGTTTATTGTTTTAAAAAACAGGTGAATCAAAATTGCACTTGCTGAGTTTATAATTCCGCCAAATTAATTCCGATTATCAAGTGGCGTACCTCTAAATGTTTGTTGTCATATAATCTTTTTTTTAGTCTTTAACCTTTAGAATATTTCTTGGTGTAGAATCTTACCTGCCAGTATGGCCTTGTGCGCCTGGAACTCCCGACCGCCCACGGAGAGCGTGACGTCGCTGAACTTCTCGTTGTCAAAGAGATTGCCGAGATCCTCGGACAGTTTGCATTCGGGCACTTTGAACTGCACGATATTGGATTGTCCGGAGATGTTCACGCTGTCCGCCACGACGCTGACCTCGCAGAAGATGGTCAGCTTGTCCTCGGGCAGAAGGCCATTGGCCTCGTCCAGCAGGAAATCGCGGCGGATGAACTTCTTAAAGCCCCAATCTTTGCCCTGCACAAAACGATAAGCTCTGCGGGAAAATAAAAACAATTATTACCAAAAGCCATTTATTAAATAATAGATAGTAGAACATACCTTTGGGATTCCATGGCTTTGGTTTCCTCACGCTTGGCATTCAGTATGGAAAATTTGAACTTGGCTCTGACTTCTGATTTATTACACGAGACTAACAGTAAATATAATGAAAGGTAATCCTTGCTCTCTTCATCAAGACCCTTTGGGTTAACCCGTAAACACCTATATGAGGATATGAATTGTTTTAGTAAATTGTTAATAGGTTAAAAGTAATAAATTACTCACCATTTCAGTTTGTCATTAGCACCGGCTGAGAATGTGGACGATTTGAGTACTTCACCCATCTCTTCCCGACAAAAACTAAAGTTATTTATGGTCCACATATAACTAAATTTAACCACTTTGACCTGCGAAACAGAAAGATAAATATGGTTAATAAAATTCAGTAGCTAACAGCTTTTTCCCCATTTCCAATCGTGTAACAACAAAGTTATCCGATTTCACCCATCTGAGCCAAATGTACCTGCATTCACAGCGGAAATGCATTTGCCGGCTTACAACGAAATGGATTCAGTTTACAATATTTGTGAAATCCGATCGGTTGGGTTCGCTTCGGCTGGCTCAGATGGTTGCCAATCCATAGGAATGCGAAAAAGCCGCATAGGGATGTCGAAATTTAATCCGTTTGGGGGATTTGAATTTACCTGCGTATAACACCAGTTCTCGGCGACTGGCGTATTAACTTCCGGCAAGGGCGGCGAGGGTACACGGCTGACCGCCATCGTGCTACTGGATGCGTGCAGGTTCGAGGTGACTCTAGCTGTTTGGCTTGCCTGACATTCGTTCACCGGCAATCTGCAAGGATTCAAGGAAATAATTTTGGAATTAGTTAAGAATATTTTTGAATACAATTATTATACTTAACAGATTTATTTATAAAGATCAATTTTACTTAAAGTACTTATAAATATAAATATGGATTTTTTATATTTATTAGTCTAAAGCACCAATGAGAATCAAGGTCTTATACATTTAAAACGCTATGAAGGTATAAATAACTATTAATTAAAATAACTTGTAGGTTATTTTCGGAGATATCTAGCATGTTTAACATTATATTTTTTCCAACCAAGAACACTTCAAAATGGTATAATTAAAACTCGGGGTCACCTTGGCTCTTGTATGAGATCCATGATGCTGCGCTCGAATTCAACTTTGACTAAATTGGTGTCTGAATTCGAGTGCCTGGCCAAAAGATTGAGCAGTTTCAACAGCAGCGAGTTCTCCAGCTTGCCGCCCGTTGAAAAAACACAAATCACACAGAATGTTTTTCGAATTAAAAAGTGTTTCTATTTGCTATATATTTTCTAATTAAAACGATGGACGAGACACAAACGCGTGGACAAGACGAAACGAAATGCGCCAAAAAGTGCAGCGTTCATAATGGCTGATATATGGGTTTAAAAAAGTCCGTTATTCCGCACAGAAATTGGCAATTAACAGAGAACGAGAGATTTAATCGAGATAACGATAGAGCTTTCGAAGCTTTCAACTAGGTTTTCGAGATTGTCAAAAGAGCAGCAGCAGTACAACAATAAAAAAAAACACGTTAAAATATCACAAGGAAAACACAACCGTTGCGCAGGAGCAGCAAAGGAAAACTGACTGATGGACCTGGAAAATCTCGGCAGGCAGGAGGATTTAAGGAGACTGCAGATGACAACAAACAATGGACTAGGAAAATGTTAGCCAGGAGTGGAAAATTGACAAACAATGGGTCAGCGCAGTTGAGGATGAAGGTGAACGTGAGCGAGTAGCTCATCTTATAAAGGTGCAAAACGCAGAGCGGAGAGGAGAGGAGAGGGGAGAGGGGAGAGAGGGAAGGAAGAGAGGGAAGGGGAGGACGGGCAGAAGGATCTGACACACAAAAGCAACAATAACAACAGTTCTTTTCATGTGTGTTTTCAGTCGCGCAGATGCAGATGGAAGACGGCAAATGGCAGAGGAAGCTGCGTTCTTACACGGAGAGAAAAAAATGGTATAATAATGATAGAAAACCTACAACAAAACTCAAAATAACATTTAGCTAAAAATAATTAAGAATACGGTTAATTGTATTTTAGTGTTTGTTTATTAGATAAATGCAAGAAAGTTCTGAAAACAAATCAATTTGAAACATAAGATCAAAGATCATTTCCTTTGGTATTTTATACACAACTATGCATTTCAAGGAGCAAACCAAATGATATCTCAATTACTAACTCCAATCGAATTGTAATTTGTTTTTCCTGTGCACAGCCAAGCGGAGAAAAAGTCGGAAAATCTGTGCAAGGCTGCGGCACACGAGCGATTTACAGCTCAGCTCAGCTCGACAAGGCTGAGATTTTCAAGGTGCTGCCCGTTTTCTGCGGCTGCTGGCGATTTGATGGCCATCATCAAATCCAGCTGAAGGACCTTCAATGGGCCTCGTGTGTGTAAGTATTTGTACGTGTGTGTGTGTGTGTGTAAGTGTGAGTGATGGGTATGAGTGCGAGCCATCAAAAGGTTGACGCAGCTCGTCAAGGTGAACAAACCGTAGACCGCGTTTTTAGCACTCGGTAAAGCGGCTTTATTCAATTTTAGTGAGTGTGCCTTAATGTTAATGACATTGATTTGGCATTGGGGCCTCCAGTTCCCTCTCGCTCCAACCGAATACACCTCTCTTTATCGCCAAGGGCCAGAGGCAAACATTTTTGTTTTGCTATGACATTGAAAATCATTTGTTTGGCGCCACAAGGCGAATGACAAAATCACAGAAGTTTGGGCAAAAGAAGGTTAAGCATGGGAACGAAAAGCATTCAGAACCTTATAATCGAATATAAACGTGGAAAAATGGGAACTATGAGTCATCAAAAGCAATAAACTTAGGCAGTAACAGCATTTTAAGGTGATTCTATGATAAGTTTTAATCAGCTAAAGAAAGCTAAAGATAAAATCAATCTTGTTTCTGCTTATATATTTATATTTTAAACCAAATAAGTCAAAAACAGTATTAACAATGGTCATTCCTCTGTTTGAATGGTCAATGTAAATAAATTTAAATTGTTTAGCAAACACACACCTCTCCATGAGTTCATAAATCCCTTGTAGCCCATACCTTTTCTCTTAGTCATGCCATTCGATCTGCTTACTTAGCCACCAGAAACCATTAGTTCTGCTGCAGAATAAACCCACATGGCATGTGAGTGGTCCAAAGGATCAGGGCCAAAAGGTCTGGGCAAACATCCGACAGCTGGGATGCGACGAATGCAGTTGGTCAT